GCAGTGGGGGGCTGGGGGCCAGGACACCTGGTTTCTAGCCCCAGGTCTGAGAAGGGAGTGGGGTCTAATGGGTTGAAGCAGGGAAGGGCTGGGAGCCCAGACTCCTGGGTTCCATCCCTGGCTCGTGGGGGGGGGAGAGGGGTCTAGTGGTTAGAGCAGTGGGGGGCTGGGGGCCAGGACACCTGGTTTCTAGCCCCAGGTCTGAGAAGGGAGTGGGGTCTAATGGGTTGAAGCAGGGAAGGGCTGGGAGCCCAGACTCTTGGGTTCTCTCCTGGCTCTGGGAGGGGAGTGGGGTCTGGTGGTGAGAACAGGGGGGGGGGGGCTGGGAGCCCGGACTCCTGGGTTCTCTCCCCAGCTCTGGGAGGGAGTGGGGGCTGGGAGCCCAGACTCCTGGGTTCTCTCCTGCCTTACCGGGTAGACCCCCAGGATCCAGAGGGAGAGGCTGGTCCGGCGGGAGGCACCCCGGCGGCGTAGGAAGAAGCCCGTCTGCTCCAGGAAGAGGCCGAGCTGCACCAGGCCCAGGGCCGTGGGAATGAGAAAAATCCACAGCTGGGCTTGGAACACTGGGGGGGGGGGAGGGGGGGGCAAGGCAGAGAGAGTGGGGGGAGGAGTGAGCCTGAGCCCCACAGAGCTCCTGGTCCCCCCAAGTGCCCACCCCGGGCTGACCCCTCCCCAGGGACTCCCCCTCCATTCGGGCCGGATTCCCTCCCCCATGGCTGCACGCTCCCCCCCCTCCACTCTGGTCCTCGGGGCGCCCGGACGCCTGGGTCCCACCTTGGAAGATCTCTGAGGACAGGGGGAACTGGCCGCTGTGGTGGGTGCAGTTTTGGGGTCGCGCCATTTCTGCCCTCCCCTCCCCTCTCTTCAGACACCGCCCGGCGTCCTTGATTCTCTGTTTCCAGCTTCCCCTGCCCTCTCCCCCGCCCCCCCAAGGAAGGAGCCTTCCTCGTTAGTCACTGTACTAATTAATCATTGACCCAGCCCAGGTGCGAGCGCCAGGTAACGGGGTCCAAGTCCGGCTTCCTCCACTTGCTGGGCAGCGGCGAACGGTTCGGTGGCTGAGGCCTGTGGAACTCTCTGCCACTAGATGGAGAGCTCACGGCTCCTGGGTCCTATCCCCAGCTCTGGGAGGGGAGTGGGCTCGAGCGGGTTACTCTAGCTCCTGGCAGGATGGGCTCCGCTCTCAGCTGGGGTGTCTGTCTGGCACCACGGAGGCCCCCAATCTCAGTCTGGTGGGGAGATGGGGGGTGGGGGTGGCACCCATTGCAATAGGGGACCTGATCCTGGTGATAGTGCAAATGATTAATAAGTCATTAATAATGAAGCATGAATGGGTGCAAAAGGCTTTGAGTTTGGAATGAGAAGCCGCACCATCGATTAACGACACGTTATTATTAAAGCGGGAATGGCTCATTAAGCAATCCAGCCAGCGGGAGGCAGGAGTGGTTCTGTGCATACATTGTGTTTATTATTTATTTTACAGGTAACAAATCTGATACTTGGGGGTTTTCTGTTAAAAAAAAATCCCTTTTTCTAAGCTAAGTACAGTACTTTCCTGTCCCCCACCCTTGGCAGGTTTGGTGGTCGGGGGGCGGGGGGTAGCAGCTGTAACTCGGGCCATATAAACTCACAGAGTTCTGGGTCTTGCAGGTCCTAGAGGGGACCTTGCATGGGGAGGAGTTCTGGGCGGGGGCCGGGGTGTGTCCTTCCTTGGCTGGCAGTGTCCTTTTTCTCTCTGCTGCTACAACAGGGTGGGATCGGAATCAACCATTGAGATTTCAGTCCTCCGGTTCCTAGAGAGGACCAGGGCACGGTGAATGGAGTGTGTGTGGCAGGGGGACAGATACAGGATAGAGGTCATTCTCCATGGTGTTTGTTCTCTCACTCTGCTCCTACATGGTGGTAGAAGTGGGATCCAAACTGACCATAGAGATCTCAGTCCTCCAGTTCCTAGAGAGGACCAGGTCATGTTATTTTGGTGGGGGAGATGCAGAGATAGTGGTCACTCTCTATGGTGTCTATTCCCTCTCTCTGCACTTATAAGATGGTGGCAGAAGTGGGATCCGGACCCATCATAGAATTCTTGGCCTTCCAGTTCACTCCAAGGCAGGGAGGGGTTAATGGCTGGCCAGTGGGCAGGGGACAGGGACTGTGATTCCCCCTGGGGCCACTAGCCCCCCCCCTCCAGTCCCCGATGCCCATGCCCTGGTGCCAGATGCCCCAGCTGAAGCCCGCCAGCTCTTGAGGTTGTGTCCGATGGTCTCAGTAGGGGCCGGGGGGAGGTACAGTCGGCTCACACCAGGACACCCCCCACCTCCTGGTGTCTCTGTGTCTCAGTCCAGCTCAGCCAATGAGGCGGTAGAAGACCCAGCAGCCGAAGGTGACCCAGTGGCTGGCCCAGCTCAGCTCCGACCACTTATAGATGGTGTAGGACATACTGTAGCCCTGCGGTGGAGAGAGACACTACAGTTGGGGGAGGGAATGCCTGTGTCCTGGGGCGCTGGGGGACAGTCGGGAGCCCAGTGGGTTGGGCCGCCTGTGACTCAGGTACAGCTGAGAGTTAGGAGGGTAGGAACACCTGTTCCTGTGGTGACAAGGTACAGCCAGATCCCACCAAGGCAAGGACTGAGGTACAGTCAAAAATCTGGACAGTAGGGATGCCTGTTCCCTGGGGTGAGTGACATACAACCAGAGAGCAGGAGGCTGTTTTGCCTGTTCTTGGGGGTGACCGAGATACAGTTGGATCTCAGCTGGGTAGGGGGGCCTGTTTCCTGGGATGACTGAGGTACCGTTGGACCCCAGGAGGGTAGGGCCGCTTGTTTTCTGAGATGACTGAAGCAGAGTCAGCGATCAGGGGGTAGGGCGCCTGTTCCTGCTGATGACTGATGTACAGTCGGACTGCACTACCCCACCTGCTCCTCTACGGTGTCATCAGCGTCGATGTCAAAGAGTGAGCCCAAGTAGGCCAGGTGGAAGACAGCCAGAACGCCGAAAAGCAGGTTCAGCAGCCGAACCCAGAGATTCTGTGGGAAAAATACCCCAGTTCAGAGACCCTCACCCATGTCCTTCCCTTCCCATCCCCTACCAACCCCGGGGAGACCCCTGTCACCCTGCACTCACCTCCTGGCTAAGGAGAGAACCCAGGAGTCCTGGCTCCCAGCCCCCCCTGCTCTAACCACCAGCCCCCACTCCCCTCCCAGAGCTGGGGAGAGAACCCAGGAGTCCTGGCTCCCAGCCCCCCCTGCTCTAACCACCAGCCCCCACTCCCCTCCCAGAGCTGGGGAGAGAACCCAGGAGTCCTGGCTCCCAGCCCCCCCGCCCTCACCCCCCCCTCC